TTCTTTTCTCAAAATGAAATGTCGTAAAGTGACCCATCGTTATCATTGCCTGCGACACGTTACATCAGCGGAGTCATCTCAAAACGGCGGCAAGCACTGTACCTGGCCTGGAAGGTTCCTCGCGCGTGTGAGCTGCAAGCTAGTGCTTTCACCGGCTCATACCTGCCGCATATATTACACCCATCTAAAGTCCTTTTATCGAGATGAATAAAAGGCAAACTGTATGGAACCGTTTACAAGAGGAAATGAAGGCGAAAAGGAAGCGACCGGATCCTCGCGGAAAGGGCAAGAGCAAGAAATCTGGTTCTGCTCCGCATGAGTTAATCGTGCAACGTTTGGCTTCAGAGCCAGACAACAAACAGACATTTCGTCCCGTACAGCCTAGAGAATTTGTGGCATTCCCTTATGAGGATCTCACGCTGACAAACTTGAAGAAAGCGTGTGCTGATCATTATAGTTTGCCAGCGAGCTTATGCGACGTCCTTGTCACTAACAAAGGACCCTCGTGTACCAGCATCGAACAAATCCCTCACAGGAAGGACAAGGTGAGAGTATGACAGATGCATGTGAAATGTGCATACAGAAGCTTAAACTTTTGTCGTTTCACCTCTGTGGTTTATGAATAGTTATATTGAAATGAAACTTCAAGTAGCAATGGTTTATCACAGAAATCAACTCCCTAAGTTTTCAAAGAGCATCATCTGAGCCATTGGCTTGAATATTTCCCCACATACAATATTAATTTTACACGGAAAAGCTTATTTTGTACCCCATGAGAGTTATGCTTAAGTTAAGACTGTGGTATTCATTCAATTTTTAATAATAGAGTGGGGTGTGGTTGGCAGCTTGAATTGGCTATTTCGCATTTTATTACCACTACACAAAACTTTGATAGAGGAAGAAATGGTTTTGATTGGGGTTTTGGGTTTTCAAATTGTTGAAATTTTATTGGGTCATTCAGTTGGATTAAGAACAACCGTGCTTACCTTGACTTGGTTGAACTCTACAATGCAGGGCAGAAATCCATACATTATGTGAAGAGCTTTCCTTTGTATCCATACATATTTTGCAAACCATGCATTACATTTGTTTAGTTTTCTTACTTAAATTTTCTAGAGATATTTGTATGAGAAATGGCAGCAACACATAAATGCCATGTTGCCTATCACTGTAAATGCAAGAGCTTGCTGGGACTCCTCTATTACTAGTGCTATTTGGGACCATTTAAAGGGTGACTGAAACAAGTTTTAGGTTCCTTGCTTTCCTCTCTTTATTAAAATGTATAAAATGCATGCACTTAAAATGCACTGGAATCACTCTTAAATAACCCCCAAATACCACAGAAACACAAGTAATGCATGGAAGAGGTATACAAATGCATCTCTTGCTCTCTTGCACTTAGAACTATTTGGCTGCTTTTGTGGGTCTGTTGATACCACATTCATCCTTTGTTTGTGTCCTCTGAGACTACTATCGTGCTGACTTTCAGTACATTGAAGTCCAATCAAATCTGTTCTTTGATATTTGTAGGTGTATTTGGTGCGGTTTGTCGTTGGCCAAGATTATGGCGAAGACTCCTATCACTCTCACACACAAGATGTTCAGGAAGAGTTGTTTGATAACGACTCAGTGCATTGTACTACTGGTGCGCTATCTGCTCCAGTGAGAAAAGCAAATGCATCCAATAATCCCAAAGCAACTTATGGAAGCTTTTCGGTATCCACTAAGTTTCCTGCATCTGTATCCATTGCCTCATTACTGGAGGCTGGAAAGCTGGTTAAACCTGTAGCAAAAAAAAAGTTACTGCTGAACTTTGAACAATTTGACATTGCCTCCAGACAATGGAAAGATGCAATGGAAGTTGAGTCTGCAGTAGATTCAGAGAAGTTTTCCTCAGGTGGATTCCGTGATGCTTATCACTGTGTGCTAACTGGAAAATCCACCAAGCAAAACATTCCAAATCACTGGGTTATCAAAATGTACAATGATAAGTCCAAGGAAGCAATTGGTTCTCAATTTAACACAAATATAGAGAGCCATTGCCGCAAACAAGTTCAAATGCATGAGGTAGCGAGGCATTTAACAAAGAAGTTTAAGTCGCAGGCTCCAAAAGAAATGGGAGAGTGTTTTCAGTACAACCACGTGTACTTCACCACAATAAATGAGCAACCTGCCACAGTGGAGGAATTTGTACCAGGACCCTTTGCCAAATTGATAAATAATGATGGTAAGAAAGCCAAACCACCTGAAGATGCCGATGATGCTTTAAAAGATTTGTTTGCTAAAGCAGAGTGTCTGGTTCACTACACATATGAATCATCCAACCAACAACTCATGCTACTAGATATACAGGGATCTGGCTACTGTTTATACGATCCTGAAATAGCAACGAATGTGCTTATGGATGCCAACAGCATGGAATTTTATTTCTGCTGCGGAAATTGTTCATCAGTAGGGATAACAGGCTTTATTGATGCACATGAATGCAATGACTACTGCAAGATGATGGGCCTAAGTCAGCCATAGTCTGCATTCCATTTCCTTCCACACCTCGGCAAAACAGCTGTTTTATGACTGGTTTATTTTATTTTTATTCACGTATTGTTACATTACGTACAGAACTCTTTTCATGGTTCTTATCATCCATTGGAAGGTGAACATGTTATAGTTCAGTTCATTTACAAAAAGGAATTGTTTTGTGGATTGTTGCCTGTGTTCGGACCTTGTCTTAGGCATCTTGAGTTTGTGCAGGTAATATGCAAAATTTACAGGTTATTGTTTAATATGGGTATACTGACAGAAATAACCTTTTTCTAAGAAGTTATAAAATGAGATAAAGAATGCTGAATTTTGGACTTTTTTGAAATTTAAAACGTAAAAAAGCTGCGATAATGATTTATGATTGTGATGATCATGATGTTGGCTCTTTGTACTGTGCCTTTAAGAAGAGATATGCATCTGCTGCCTCAGCTGGCTTTACCCCATCTATGTTTGGAACAATTCGTTCACATTCCTCTCTCACACTACTTGGCAAGTAATCATCTCCAACTGACATGACACCCGATAATGTAGCAACCTCATCCAGAGCTTCTTGAGTGACTTGCAAACCTATGGTATGCAAAATAAGAAACCTATACAAACCAATAAACTTGCTGATGTATTAAGACCTTCATGTAAGTATTGAGCCCCTCTCTATTTTGAAATGCAATATTGATGGTTAAAACTATTAGAGCTGGTTCTTTAATGAAGGTCTAACTTATATCCTGGTTTAAGGTACTCAGGTTAAGTACATAAATGGATTTCTAGTCTGGATTGTAAGCCCTCTTGATGCTCTAAACAGAAAATGAGGGTTAGATGTGAGGGTTAGCCGAATTTAAATGGCCTTTAGAATGTGGTTTTGTTAAACACCATTTAAATTCTGTTTAAGTAACCAGCCCTTAATCTTTTTGCAAACAACTTGGAGAGCAATCTTCACAAATTAGCACTTGAAAAAAAGAAGGAAATATGCATATGTAATAATATCAAGCCATACCACACTCATCTGCATTATATTGCCCAGGAAATGAATAGAGATGATTTGGTATCCCTTTTGGAACTGCAGCATCCTTTTGGCTCCTCACTCTGTGTGAATTCCACACAGTTTCCCTAAAGATATTCATTTCTTTTTGGATGACGGGAATAAAAATGAATGCCAATAGGTGCCTGTCAAAAATGCAAACACAAAATAAGAACATACACATAGATCCATGATATAGACATGTCACAGGTAAATATGTCAGGTCAATAGTTTATAAAATAACAAAAAATAGAAATACAAGCTGTTCTATTAACGAATAAAAAAAAACTATTAAACAATGTTAAGAATACATTTTAAATTTAATGTATTACATGTAATACCTATCTGTTTGATTACTTGGATCATAGTGGCCTTGTTCAAGCAGTATAGTCAGCTGCCTCTTAAAAAACCTCTCAAAGCGGTTGTGGAGATCTCCCCACCATCTTTCAATCTGTGAAAAATGGATCAACTCTATTATGGTTTATACAGAAATTCCAAGATCAACACAGTGTACAATGGAAGTCTTTTCTGATAGCTTGGAGTTAGTGGATTTTGTGATTGGGCTAGTGAATTCTGTTCTTAAGCAAAGTTTTCCTGAGAATTTGCATTACTTTACTTTAGAACTTGAAGACAATTAATTGAAAATTCCTAATAATTCCACGTGAACTGGATTTTCTCAAGCTCATCTCACAAAGTGAAATCTGCAAGAACAGTGTTACATTACAGACTAGATGTTGTATGATCTGCATGCACAATCTTCAGGTAAAACCAATCTTAGAAATACCTTGGTAGTAAGTCTGAGTCCAGAAGCTCTCATTATAGCTTACTACAATGCATTGATAAAGCAAGTAATTAATTAATAATTATCTAATGGTTCTTCCCAGGTATTTTAAGCCAGGTTGATTGCCAGGCTTAATTCACTGGAAAATTGTTGCTGCCTAGCTACAGCTTTGTACAAGTGACTTTCTTTGCACCCTGTGGTATAAGGTATTTTGCTATTCATACACAGACTGCATTGGTTGTAAAATAATGGAGAAGATTCAAATGTTACAGCATACATCTAGTTTTCTTATCTAAAACTATTAACATGATAATTAAGAAAAGCCTACATGGGCATCAAACCAGTAATTTTTATTTTATTGATTATATTGATTCTGGAAAGATGGTAAAATACTGTTCTGTTTTTACCTTGTTGTTTGTTGATGGTCCATAAAACACTGTTTCTGGCTCATTGTCCTGGTCCTGTCTTAAAAATGCATGAATGGTTGCCATGTGCCCAGTTTCAGTTCCCTTGTCCAGCCTGAGATATTTACTGATCACTTGAATGCAAACCGAAAAAAAGATTAGGCCTTGAGGATTTTGATTGACTCATAGAGCAAAACCCTCTGTAGTCCTAACTCATAGACTATTGAATTATAAACAAAGCTCTCTCTACAATCCCTCTTGTAAGGGACGACCAACTACAGTAACTGCACTTTGAAAAAGTCAGAACTGGCTGGCTGGACCAGCCATTTTGACAAAGCAATAAGCTTTTTCTAAGAGTTTTTACTGAAAAATCACCCTCTTCATGCGTACTATGACATACTTTGACATATCTTGCTAAATAGTTTTGATTAAAAGTGAAATTTTCTATGACTTGCATGTACCTGCTGGTCTTTTCCTTTGTGTTCAAGTTCTCATGAGCCCCTGCTGAGTACTCAGTCAACAATTGAATAAAGGGTTTTCTCTTTGATCAAATTTTGTTAATACTGAGAGCAAAAAGGAAACAAAATCCAAATTTTCACCAGAAAGTATTGGAAATTACCAGTACTTATGACAATATTTTAGCCAAAAGCAGCAGCCCTCAATAAGTCCATCTTTTTATTCCGAGCACCAATAAAAGCCGTCATCTTTATGAACAACCAACCCAAACTTCGAATGCTCTTGTGAATTCACGAGATGGGTGCTTATGAGAGCCCTTTTTAACTGTATCACAATCTGAATGCATATATTATTGAAACAGGACAAATTACCTTTCGTGCAATACAAATGGTCCATATACCAACGCCCAATCAGCTTGGGGTCAGAATTTGTGGTCCATAATTTCAAATACAAAATGTATCCACTAAAGGCATCTTGCAACCCGTAAACAGCTAAAGGAAACGTGCTATTCATGAAGCCCATGAGCTTGTCATGACCATCCCCTGAATGGGTGTGGTTAGGTCCCTGTATTTAAGACAGCAAACAGGAATACTTTGAGACAAAAATCTATGTAAAGACTTTTTTGCTATACACACATTACAAAGCACTACAACAGTTAATAAAATGAAATGGGCAGCACCTAAACTTCTTCTATAGACCGCCGAGGAGATAATGTGGAGAAGTATGGGGACTGGTTACTTTGAAAGATGAAGGATGACTGGGAATAAGTGCTACTGATCAATACAATAACAAGGGACAAAAAGAAGACATGTCATGTGCCAATAGATTCATTGTTTATTAAAACCTACAAATTCCTAAAATCTTACCAGTGATGTAAACGTTCCTGTCGCCCCCCTTTGCCGTTTCTTTTGACCAACATTCCCTCGCCTCGTCATTCCTTCGGGGTCTACCATACTCATAACATCATAGACGAGATTACGAGGAACAGCCAATTTATGCTGCTCTCGAACTTTTCTCTGCATAGCTCGATATCCAAGGTACTGCCCTGGGCCTTCCATTTCCTCCTGTATAGCCTTTTTGACATCTTCTACACTCGTTTCATAACGAATGTATTTGATGCCGAAAAAATTCAATCTCCTACTGAGTGTGGGTAGACTCCATGCATATTCAGGGTAGTCGCGACTAGCAAAATCTAGTATCTCTTGTCTCGAATAATTTGCTAACACGTAGCGCTCAAGATCGCTCTTTAGTTGCTGGTCCTTCTCCCAGTCTGAGCAACGAACCGCCATAATTTTGAGAGAAGAAAGATAGAGGCCCTGGTAACGAGGGGTTCTCCACTGACCGTACGTGTCGCAGGCTATGATAACGATGGGTCACTTTACGACATTTCATTTTGAGAAAAGAAATTTATTGTGATTTCAGTTCGGCCCAGCGTTATCATAGCAAAATAAAAATCAATTTGCATTTCTACTAAGGGATTTTAATATGTTGTTTTTTTTTTTTAATTATTGTTTTCGATGTCATTTTTTTTTTACTATTATTATTATTATTTTTTAATTTAAATTTTCTTTTGTTTTTTTTTTTGGGTTGAAATTTATTTACATTTTCATTTTGTTTCTTTATTTTGTTTTAATTCAAATTTATTTTAATCAATTTTTTTTGTGTGTTTTTGTATTTATGTATATTTATTTTTTTATTTTGGTCTTTTTTAAAATATGGTTTCAATTTCGTTAAATAAAACAGGCATTTCCAGTTAGTTTTTCTATGATAATAATGGGCCACCATAGTTATCCATGCTTCAAAGAACTGATTTAAAATTCTCGGAAATACAGAATGTTTTTTATTCTTCCGTCAAACCATCAAAACATGTCAAGGAACGCTATTTTATTGGTTAATGATACAGAGTTAATTAAGTCTGGGTGACAAGACAAAACTTCGAATTCATTGTTCCTTTTCAAAGCCATTCCCTAAATCGTCAACAACTAGGCCGCAATTTTTGAAAAGTAACCTTGTTTCCGACCTTTCCATGGATATAAAGACCTTGCTGGACAATCTTCATGATGAAGTATCCTGTTCAGTGTGCAAGTGCGCATTCACTGATCCTAAACAGTTGCCTTGTTTGCACAGTTTCTGTCTTCATTGCCTGAACGGAATTCAACGAACGAGCGGCGTCCATGGCAAAATTACATGCCCCGAGTGCAGGAGACAGTTTCAAATCCCTGGAAGTGGAAATCCTAACGAACTTCCCACCAATTTTCGTATTAACAATTTGCTAGATGTCTTGGCAATAAAAGAATGCAATACAACTAACGTGAAATGTGGAAACTGCGACAAGCGGAGCACCCAGACCTTATATTGCTTCCGGTGTTGTTCTTTCTGGTGCGAGGAATGTATTTTAGGACATAACATGATACGCATCAATAAAGAACACAGAACGCTCGCAGTGAAAGATTTTCAAGATCAAGACATCGAGGCCGTGTTAAAGAGACCGGCATTTTGTCAGAAGAAACGACATGAAAAAGAAGAGTTGAAATTCTTTTGCAAGGACTGTGAGGTCGCCATTTGCAACACTTGTGCTGTAACACTCCATGAAGGTCACGGAAAGATGCTTTTGGAAGAAGCTGCAGAAGCGTGCAAGACTCAGATCAAATCCATTACTCAATCTTTAAAAGAAAAAGCACAAGAAAAACGAAAAGAACTCGAGCAATTGAACCAAAAGAGCGAGGAGATTAAACTGCAAGCAGCCTACTTAAAAAGCCAAGTGCAGACGAATGTAGATCAGGTTATTGCAATCATCGAAGCGTGGAAACAGGATGTTTTTAATGCAGTCGATTTTCAAGCGAAAAGTATCACCGGAATCTCTCTCACAGAAAAAAGACCAAGTTGAAAATCAAGTAGATATTATTGAATCAGCAATTGAACAAACTTAGTTCTGAAATCCTTGGATTCAGTGAAACATTTGATACAATCTTGCAGGAAGAGGGAACCCAAGGAAACCGTGACATTGAATGTATTCCTTGGTTTAATTTCACTAAAAGTGAAAAACTGATTAACGAGTTGAACAGTCAAGGGATATGAAATATAAAAGCTGTTTTAAGCGAGACTAAAATTCAACAATTAGGAGCTAAAGGTAAAGAAAGTAGTAAAGTAATTGTCCGCAATAAAAAGGGGCAAATGTTCTTGACAGTCCTCTTGAGACTCAGGTACAAACCAGGAGTTTCAGATCTGTGCTGTCATTTGGACAAGAAGGTGAGTCTTTTGGAATGCCTGCAGGGCCCTGTGGTGTGGCAGTGAATGATCAGGATGAAATTGCTGTAACTGAGTGTGGTAACCACAGGGTTTCAGTGTTTAGTAGTGAGGGTACCCACTTAAGATCGTTTGGTTGGGAGGGTCAGAATAATGGTGCATTCCAGTTCCCTTCATGGATCGCTTTTGATAGTCTTGGCAATATTGTGGTGCCCCCTGCCCCCCCCCAAAAAATATTGTACTGGCAGACTGCGATAACCACAGGGTGCAAGTCTTTGATAGGAATGGTAACTTTGTTAGTAGGTTTGGTGAACTTGAAAGTCTTGATCACCAGCTTAGTGACCCTGAAGGTTTATCAATAAACGGCAAGGATAATATTATTGTTGCTGATAGAGATAACAAATTAATCAAGATATTCTCTTCTAGTGGGAAGTATTTCCGTAAATTTGGTGGAGCAGGTTCATTGGTCAATCCCTATCACTGTATCCAACACGGTCAATATTTTATAGTCTGAGAGGAAATCAATTTTGAGCGATTATTTTGTTTAGACATTTTGATATGTCAAAATTGGTTTATTATGTTCTACTTGTAAATATATTTTGTCTATATAAATGATGTGGATTTCCACTGTCGGGTAAAAGTTGAGGTTACGCTGGCGCCACCTTCCTTACATTGCCTCTATTTTATTTACATGCGTAAATACAATACTTGGAAAGAAAAACTGCAGCATATATTGAATTGACTAGATCCAGACAAAGCAATTAATTGAGATAATTTTCTCTTACATTGTAATCTCACATTATTACTAAATAAATTTGCAAATACTTCATATCTAGAAATAATATACTGATTAATATCTACATACTTTTTTTGAAAGCGTGATTTTTGAATGGGTTTTAACCTGTTCAATAGCGAGGACAGCCTGAATTGTCAATTTTGTCAGGAGCCCTGATTTTGTAACGAAACGGCTTATTTTTACTTACCTTTTTTTAGTAGTAATAGACATACATCTTTCAGTTTCTCAAAAAGCAAAATACTATTCGCTGTAAATAACTCAAGTGGATTATTTTTTGTCTTAATAAACAACAGTGTAAATGCTTTGTTCCTTGTATTCAATGTCTCCTAATAGTCAAAGGCGGATTTAGGGGCGGGGAAGTGGGGACGAGGAAGCCGCGACCACTCCTTTTTTCTTTGAAATTTTGTATCATTTTTATAGAATTCTCAGTTTATATAGCTGGCAAGTGTCCCGGCCACCCCTTTCTGAATTTTCTGGATCCGTCCCTGCTGATGTTTGCATGTTTGCAATAACCTGGGCAGGAATGTCGACAAGGCCACTTAACAGCTAGTCTTGCCTCTTGTGTCACTTGAGAAAAACTAAACAAATTTAACAGTGGCGTTGGAAATTGGTGAAGGCCTCCTCTCCCATTTTGTCTCATTTACTGCCGGCCACCCAAGCACAGGGTACAAGTGTAATTGGTTGGAACGGTAACTTTCTCAGTAAGTTTGGTGAAAGAGGTGATGACCAGCTTAGTGAACTTGAACATTTCATGATCAATAAACGGCGACAGTAATATTAGGGAGCTTAAGCAACTACTAAGACGACGACAACGACGACGACGACGACGACGACGACGACGACGACGACGACGACGACGACGACGACAACGACGACGACGACGACGACAACGACGACGACGACGACGACGACGACGACAACGACGACGACAATTTCAAAAAACCAACAGGTTTAATGATCAAAACAACAGCTCTGCACGTGCATCACGCTTTTTAGTACATTTCTTTGACGTCCACTGGACTACGACGTGAAACCTCCTAATCTGACGTTCTGTGGAGGGCGTGGACATACGACGACGAATTTTCCTACCTCTTTTTGAACTCGAATAAAATCCTTAAGAATTCAACTCCAGGAAAAGTCGCCTGCATTTGACATATTGAGCGGGTCCAAATAGACGCGATTAAGTTTGAAAGAACGCAAATTCATTTTTTTAGGGACGTTTTCACTGCCGTCGTCTTCATCCTTGCTTAAGGTCCATATTATTGTTCCTGATAAAGGTAACAAATTCATCAAGATGCTCTGTTATAGAGAGGAGTGTTTATGCACATTTGGTGGAGCAGGTTCTCGTGTTTGCCAATCCCTATCACTGTATCCTACCGACACAGTAAATATCTTATACAGTTGAAACTCTATACAACAGCCACCTTGGGGACAGAAAAAAGTGGCCATTGTAGAGAGATGGTCGTTGTAGAGGTTGAAACAACAGTGAATGTACGGACAGTCCGCCTAAAAAAAATGGCCGTACGGTTGTAGAGTGGTGACCGTTACTGGAGGTTAGAGTGTAGTCTAAAACTGTGGTTATCATCTCAGTAAAATGTTTGATCCTGAGGGAAACTTTGGTAAATTTGGAAAACGGGACCAAGGATGGAGAATTCAACTATCCTCGTTCCCTGTCAGTTAGAAAAGCAGGACTGAGTGCTTATGGTCTGTGATTCCTAACCAACCACAGAACTCAGGTGTTTGAACTGTGTGGAAAGTTTGTTACAACAACACTTTTTGTTGTGAGTTATTAAACCGGTCGGGACTGGTTTAGGACAATGTGTAATGCAAGCATCTACAGAACTGTGCTTGGCCTTTTTTTTTTAATTTTTTACTGTTTTAGAAAAAACGGTTTTTTCAACTAGACCCAGTGCCCCAAGGCATTTTTATCATATCTTAACGCTTTCGCTTTTAAATATCTAAAAAAGGCCAAGCACAGAAGTGATATATTAAACGGCCGGTAAAACAATTGAGGACACAGGAAAAAGTGTTGCTGTTTCATGTCAAGAACAAGCTTTTTCAGCGTCTTACGTGTATAAAGCTCTTAGATGTAGACCACCCTCTCACTTTTAAAGTGAACAAATTGAGGCCCATGTCTTAATTTACCCGAGTAATCTGAAACACGGTCAATCGAACCGACGCCCTTAGTCTTCTCAGCAAGATTTCGATGCCCTTTCTTCTCGCCTCTAGCCTGCGGACACAGACGTATTTCCGGTCGTAGCTTCTCTCCATCCTGGTGGTGAGAAGCGACGACCAGAAATAATTCTTTGTCCGCAGGCTATCTCGCCTAAGGTTCCTAAGAGAAAACTAAAGAAGGAAAGCAGTTTGCTTGGATGCCAAGTAGGTTTCTAATGCGAGTTTGATTTGGAGGTAATGGTGGGGACACTTGAAGCTCTCTCTCACCAATCCTCTTCAACTATTTTTTTTTTCACCGTCTCTTTGCCTTAGCCCCTTAAAGAACCCGCTCACAGACTATCAACTTATTTCTGGCTCTCGACGTTTAAGGAAAGTAGGGAGCAAACGACAGAATACAAAAACACTTGGATTGTGGTCACGCCCTGAAAATAAGCGTTCCAGAGACTTGCCGAGTTACCTTCGGTTTGTAATGACCACAGCTGAAGGTGAAAGGAAAAGGTATTAAAAACATTTTCTCTTGACATGACCATTTTCAACAGCTAGGGTAGTTTTAGTAGCAATATCAGTAGAAATGCTTATCGATGAGCCACTTAAAACTGAAATGATCAAACTTTAGATACGATGTCCCTTATTTTAGCTGTTTAGCTTTGTTTCACTCATTCAGTTTGCCCTTTTTTCTAATTCCTTTTGTTTCAGAATTTCTTTCACCAGCTGTAGTCGTTTCAATAAACCGAGCATAACTTACCTGAGTAACTCGGCAAGTCTCTCGAACTTAACAAGTATTTCTCAGAGGGTGTCCACCACCAAGTTGAGAGTAGAAAATAGTGACGATTTATCGATGAGCCACTCAGACCTGAAATGACCAAACTTGCGTGAGATAAGTTATACCTTCTGTTCATTTTCGCTTCATTCCTTGTAACACCTCACCGCACTATACAGTATTGTTGGAGTTGTAATACATACACCAGAAAAGGGATTATGTGGAGCTGTACTACAGCTATAGTCGACAATTAATCAGGTCAGCAAATGTAATATCCTTTACAGAAAGTGGAGTCTGAAGCTAGAGATTGCAGTTCGTGTCACTATTCTCAAGACGCTTCATCTTTGCTTTTCACCAAAAAACTGGTGAGCGATCATTATATTTTCAATTCTTCGATTTTCTCCTCAGGCGATACAAGCTGTTTTCAAATGAAATATTCGCAAGTGGCAAATTATTGTGCAAACGAATGCAGAAAATACACAACCACACCACACGGAGGCTTTTGTCGAGTTGAGAAACATTTTCCTTCATCATTTAAGAAGAAATCCACACTCAAACTGCAAATGCGCATATTATTCTAATTTCCTTGCTGTGCTACAATCGGTGACAAGGTATTTAGCACGAAAGTTCTAAAGAGTCGGGACCGCCATTTTACATAGTCTTCTGAGCCGCGTGCATCCTCGGAGACCCAGGGGCATCTAGTTGGGTGGATAAAATGTTTGTGGTGAACGTTCACCTGTAAGATCGAGAAAAGCCCGAGCTTTCGAGACCAGCTTTCAAATAAGCTTGAGTCAATTCAAAAAAGGGCACTATATACATCCATGCCATAGTTGCTTAGATGCCCTTAATACTACCAACCTTAGCAGCTTGAAAGAAAAACGAACTATGCTCTGCTGTAAATATATTCGGAAGATGACTCAAAATGACCACCCCATTAACTTCCTCAAGCCGAGAACAGCAACTAGTGGTTATAAGTTACAACTAGCGGGCCAGTGACAACAATAGAAATATTGTTTACGCTGACAGGAGTTGTTGCCGGACCCAGCGTTCAGGTTCCTTTATTTTATTCGCAAGTAAATATCTGACATGTAAATAGTTATATTTAAGATATTTTTCTTGTTTCTATAAGTAGTGTTAATTATTTGTTGATTGTTAATTTATAGCCCTTTAATTCAGTTAATTCTGCAATGTGGCAAATAAACGGTATATTTATTTATTTATTTATCTATTTATTTAGCCCCTCGTCTCGATCTTACAGTAAGCTTTCACCACGAGCATTTTATCGTCCCGACTAGCTGCCCCTGGGTCTCCGAGGATGAGCCACGCGAAGGTCTAGCCGCTTGCATTGCAAAGACCCTGGGCGCTATCCATTCAACCAAAATTCCAACCGGTGCGACCGGATAAAGTGGTCCACACCTGAAAAGGTGGACCCGTTTTTTCGAAACTTTTCCGGTTGGACCGAACCGATCCATTGAGGTTTGGACCGAAATTTCCGGAAATTTTGGTTGAATGGATCGCGCGGCTTCGCGCCCCCTGTCAGTATTGATCCGGCCCTTCTAATCGAGCCACGAACCTTTTGTCATTCTGCAGAATATGCCGACGGGTTTTTAGCTTTCTAATTGGATATATTCTTTATTGCATGGGACCATGGAAGGATAAATACGGAGTACATATACATTTAAGAATCAACCGAGTTCTGAGCCGAGTAAGCGTACCGCTAAAATACGAGTATATACTTCAGTAACCTACTTCAGTAAAACCTGGTAAAACGTGCAACAAAAAACTTGGAAGTTACTTTGCAGCATTGGTGCTAAACATGTTGAATTGCGATGCTTACCCCGTTTTACCCGCACCCACTTTTGAACCTGTCTTACAACAAATATAAAGGTTGCAAGGTTTTTTTGTGTGTGTGAGCGGTAAAACGCGCAACATCGCTATTCAAGTACGTCGTTTTGCAGCAAACTCCCCGGGAGTGGGGGTACTCCTTTATTTATATAAGTGAACATAAATCCGTGTGTTATTCGTTTGTAACCCGTATGAGTGTACACAAATATTCAAACAATTTCAGTAGTCCATGCTTTAGCCTGCCTAGCAAACTTTTCCGAACGAATTCCCCTTTTCTGCTCTCCCCCGACTTTCTTGACCATGCACCTCGCGCGGAAACGCTTAATTCTCTACAGGATGTTTATTATTATTCCGTCAAACCATTAACACGTGTCAAGAAACACTATTTGATTGGTTACAGCTGATTTCAGTGCTGTGTATACACCCTGATTTTTAGACATGATTCGACGGTCATGATTCGACCGTCATGATTCGACCGAGAGGTTACCAAGCAGTACAGTATCCTACAGGAATCAAAGCACACAATCTGAAAGTTACTTTAGTGATAGCTTGAATGTTTCTCTTGTAATTCAGAAAAAGAGGACTGTGATCCATAAATTTGTTCTCCTTTTCAGACAACAGCCTATCATACAAGTCACGCAATCTGATCGTAATACATGTTATCGGGCGTGTGGACGTCACGATTAATAAGTTTTTCGGCTCCTTTCTTAACTGTTTTTGGGCTTCTACCTTGATCTTTAAAGAAATATCATATTTTACCCTTTTTCAATAAAAACAAATGTTGCTTTCTTTTTTGTATGGTTTTCTTTATTTGTGCTCACTAGGGTCATAGGTCGAGGACCGAACATTGTGATATTTTTCAACGGTCGACAAACTTTCAAACTCTCCAGCAAAATCTTTCACAACGGCAGACTGATCAATTTATCTGTTGATTTCTTCTGCAAAACGTCAAGTTTTCCTGTAGTTTTTTAACCATGCGGAAGCTAAGTAAGGACGAAAAAGTACCAACTTGAAGAAATATAAATTTGCCTCCCTGTTAACTAAATTTGCATCACTGTTACATGTAAATTGCAGGTGGTATTCACAACGGCAAAATACCGAAACCTTGTCATACGGAAGAAGACAAACGATAAACCATCGGACTATTTCGCTTTTTGCCGTATTGATAATATTTCGTCCATTATGAAATCGCCTACAGAAATACATTCGAACTCGGCAATCGAACTCCAGGTTTATCACCTGATCATATGTTATCATAATTTCTGTATCATGTCGCCGCTTTCCAGGCAACAAAGCTTTCCTCTTCAGGTAAAACGCATTTGTCGGGATTCTAGCTTCGTTACACTTATGTCCTTTAGTGCTAAGCTTTCCTTGCTAGCCAGATTTTTCTCTCACTGTTTCGGATCCCACGACACAACTCTCAATTATTTTTGCAACCGTTTACGGTTTACGTACTGCCAAGCGATACGTCACGTGATTAGTGACGAATCATGACAGGTCGAATCATGACCGTCGAATCATGTCTGAAAATCCGGGTGTATACATAGCAATGAAATCAGCTGTAATAATACAGAGTCTGGGTCACAAGACAAGACTTCATTGTTCATTCGCAAAGCCATTCCCTTCATCGTCAACAACTAGGCGAAAATTTCTAAAAAGTAACCTTGTTTTCGACCTTTTCCATGGATATAAAGACCTTGCTAGACAATCTTCATGATGAAGTATCCTGTTCTGTGTGTATGTGTACATTCACGGATCCTAAACAGTTGCCTTGTTTGCACAGCTTCTGTCTTCATTGCCTGAACGGAATTCAACGAACGAGCGGCATCCATGGCAAAATTACTTGCCCCGAGTGCAGGAGACAGTTTCAGATTTCTGGGAGTGGAGATCCCAGCGAACTTCCCACCAATTTTCGTATCAACAGTTTGCTAGATGTCTTGGCAATAAAAGAGTGCAGCACAGCTAACGTGAAATGTGGAAACTGCAACAAACGGAGCGCCCAGACCTTATATTGTTTCCAGTGTTGTTCTTTCTGGTGCGAGGAATGTGTTTTAGCACATAACATTATACGCACCAATAAAGAACACAGAACGCTGGCACTGAAAGATTTTCAAGATCAGGACATCGAGGCCGTGTTAAAGAGACCGGCATTTTGTCAAGAGAAACGACATGAAAACAAAGAGTTGGAGCTCTTTTGCAAGGACTGTAAAGTCGCCATATGTAACACTTGTGCTGTAACACTCCATGAAGGTCACGGAAAGATGCTTTTGGAAGAAGCTACAGATGCGCGCAAGACTCAGATCAACTCCATGACTCAATCCTTAATAGAAAAAGCACAAGAAAAACGAAAAGAACTCGAGCAATTAAACCAAAAGAGCACGGACATTAAACTGCAAGTAGCCGACTTTAAAAGCCAAGTGCAGACGAATGTGGATCAAGTTATTGCAATCATCGAGGCGAGGAAACAGGATGTTTTTGATGCAGTCGATAATCAAGCGAAAAAATCACTGGAATCTCTCTCACAGAAAAAAGACGAAGTTGAAAATCAAGTCAAATTAATTGAATCGGCAATTGAACAAACTAAAGCTCTTGTGAAACGAAGCTTTAGTGCTGAAATCCTTGGATTCAGTGAAACATTTGATGCAATCCTTCAGGAACAGGGCACCCAAGAAAACCGTGACATTGACTGTATCCCTCGGTTTAGTTTCACTAAAAGTGAAAAATTGATTAACGTGTTGAACAATGAAGGGATAGGTAATGTAAAAATTGATTTAAGCGAAACTAAAGCGCGACAATCAGGAGCTAAAGGTAAAGAAAGTAGTAAAGTAATCGCTGGGATTAAAGGGGCAAATGTTCGTGACAGTCCTCTTGAGACGCAGGTACAAAACAGGTGCTTCAGATCTGTACTGTCATTAGGACAAAAAGGTAAGTCTGTTGGAATGCTTAGCTGTCCCTGGGGGGTGGCAGTGAATGATCAGGATGAAATTGCTGTGACTGAGTGGGACAACAACAGGGTTTCAGTGTTTAGTAGTGACGGTACCCACTTAAGATCGTTTGGTAGGAGGGGTAACAATAATGGTGCGTTGGGGGGCCCTAGAGGGATCGCTTTTGATAGTCATGGCAATATTGTAGTGGCAGACTGTGTTAACCACAGGGTGCAAGTCTTTGATAGGAATGGTAACTTTCTTAGTAAGTTTGGTGAACAAGGAAGTCGTGATTATCAGCTTAAATTCCCTAAAGGTTTATCAGTAAACGGTAACGGTGATATTATTGTTGCTGATCAGGGTAACAAATTAATCAAGATATTCTCCTCTAGTCGCATTTATTTGCGTAAGTTTGGTGGAGCACGTTCTTTGGTCCTTCCCTATCACTGTATCCAACACGGTCAATATTTTATAGTCTCAGATCATGGTGATCATTGCATTAAGATGTTTGATCTTGAGGGAAAATTTATTTCTGAATTTGGTAAAAAGGGAAACGAGGATGGAGAGTTCAATCAGCCCGTTTGCTTGTCAGTTAACAAACAAGGATTGCTAATGGTCTGTGATGCAGGAAATCACAGAGTTCAAGTATTTGAACTGAGTGGAAAGTTTGTTACAAAATTTGGAAGTGAAGGTAGCGGGAGAGGAGAGTTGAATTATCCATTTTCTACAGCAATTCTTAGTGATGGAAGAATAGTTGTGTGTGATTTGAATAATGATCGAATCCAGGTATTTGAGCAAACAGGAAATAATCTATAACCTGCGAATTAAACCGTCTTTCCTCGCTCCTTGTCGTTTGGGACCTTTCGCGGAAAACATCTCTGCCGCGAAACTTCGTAATAGCAGCAATGTGCGAGGAGAGTCAGCTGTATTCGCAGCGGGCTACAAATAACCTTTGAAATTCAGTTCACTATTATATATTCCGATTGTTAATCAGATTCACAGTTCATGTTCATTCATACAATCACAGAGTGCAGGTATTTGAACTGAGTGGAAAGTTTGTTGCAAAATTTGGAAGTGCAGGTAGCGGGAGAGGAGAGTTGATGCATCCATTTTCTACAGCAATTCTTAGTGATGGAAGAATAGTTGTGTGTGAATTTAATAACGATCGAATCCAGGTATTTGAGCATACATGAAATAATCTATAACCTGCGAATAAAACCGTCTTTCCTCTCTTCTCGTCGTTAGGGACCTTTCAGGGAAAACGTCTTTGCCGCGAAACTTCCTAATAGCGGCGAGGAGCGAGGATAGACAGGTGTATTCACAGCGGGTTTGAAATAATCCTGCCTTTGATGAACTAAGACTTGAGATTCAGGTCCTGCTATTATACATTGCTCATTAGCTCCACAGTTCATGTTTCTGGAGGAATCAGTTTTGTGCGATTATTTTGTTCAGACATTTTGATATGTCGAAACTGGTTTATTATGTTCGACTTGTAAATATATTTTGTCCATAAATGATATGGATGAGTCCACTGTCGCGTTAAAGTTGAGTTTACGCCGGCGCTACCTTCCTTGCATTGCCTCTAGTTTATTTACGCGCGTAAATACAATGCTTAGAAAGAAAAACTGGACCATATATTAGCTTATATTGAATTGACTAGATCCAAAAAAATCAATTAATTGAGATAATTTTCTCTTACATTGTAATCTCACATTATTACTAAATAAATTTGCAAATACTTCATATCTATAGAAATATTATACTGTTTAATATTTACATACTTTTTTGAAAGTGTGATTTTTGAATGGGTTTTAACCTGTTCAATAGCGAGGACAGCCTGAGTTGTCAATTTTGTAAGTAAACGGCTTATTTTTACTTACCTTTTTTCAGTAGAAGCAGACGTACATATTACTCAAAAAGCAAAATACTATTCCCTGTAAATAACTCAAGTGGATTATTGTTGTCTAAATAAACAACAGTGTAAATGCTTTGTTCCTTGTATTCAATGTCTCCTAATAGTCAAAGGCGGATTTAGTGGGGGAGTGGGAACCAGGAAGCCGCGAACACTCCACTTTTCTTTGAAATTTTGTATTGCATCAGTCAATTCCACCTGCGGCATTAGCATTTCTTTGCCTTGGATGGCAAATTTCCGAGGGTGGGGACTCTTGAGCTGTCAAATCCCCGGGGTGGGGACGAAAAAAGAGGGCAAATGCCCCGTCCTCCGTCAACACTGCAACATTTTTCATTGATCGCACAGTCAAATAGTGCCTTTTTAAGCATTTTAATGTGCGATTTTTTTGGTTTAATTAACGTCTTCCTTTGTAATAGCGCGAGGATTCTAATTAAGACTTCATGCCGCGACGACATGCACCAGTTTATGGTTTTAGTATTGGTATAAAATTATTGACATTAAAATTAATAGAGCGCTGTAAAGTTATATGTTATGAATAGTTTTATAAATATGAAAGGATGTTCTTCAAATAATACCAACAGAAATTTAACCAAAAAAATAACCAAAAAACGTTGATTCACATCGATAGCTCCAATTTCGCTACGCAATTCTGGCTTGATAAGCAATGAAGAAATGCATACATACATGTCAAATCGAGAACATGCCTTTACAACCCTCTACAATTTATTTCTGTCCTTAAAAAATGAGCCAATCTGCTTTTCTTCTACTAAAACCTTATATTCTGATAGGAAACCGCGTGCGTATCAAAAGCTCGGGATTGGCCCGGGGGTTGGCAAATGCCCGGCCCCCGGGCAGTGCAACATTTGCAAATGCCCCACTCCCGGGACTGACAAGGCGGGCAAATGCCCCGTAGTTGCCCGGGGGGGGGGGCTGGGCGCAGGTGGAATTGACTGATGCATTATGCTTTCTGGTGCGAGGAATGTATTTTAGGACATAACATAATACGCACCAATAAAGAACACAGAACGCTGGCACTGAATGATTTTCAAGATCAAGACATCGAGGCCGTGTTAAAGAGACCGGCATTTTGTCAGAAGAAACGACATGAAAAAGAAGAGTTGAAATTCTTTTGCAAGGACTGTAAAGTCGCCATTTGCAACACTTGTTTTATGAAGGTCATGGTAAGATGCTTTTGGAAGAAGCTACAGACGCACGTAAGACACAGATCAACTACACACTTCAATCTTTAAAAGATAAAGCACTTGAAAAACGAAAAGAACAAGACCAACTGAACCAAAAGAGCATGGACATTAACGAGCAAATAGCCGAATTAAAAACCCAAGTGCAGACGACTGTAGACCAATTGCTTGCAATCATCGAAAAGAGGAAACAGGATATTTTTGATATAGTCGACAATCAAGCGAAAAAACCACTGGAGTCTCTCTCACAGAATCAAGTCCAAGTTGCAAATCAAATGAAACTAATTGAATCAGCAATTAAAGAAACTGAATTTGTGTTGAAACGAAGCTTCAGTACTGAAATCCTTGAATTCAGTAAAACCTTTGATTCAATCCTACAGGAACAGGGAACCCAAGAAAACAGTGACACTGAATGCAGTATCCCTCGGTTTAGTTTCACTAAAAGTGAAAAACTGATTAATCTGAGCATGAGCGAGGGGATAGGTAATGTAGTATTTATTTTTAGCGAAACTAAAGCGCAACAACCAGAAGCTAAACGTAAAGAAAGTATTAAAGCAATTGCTGGTAATAAAGGGGCAAATGTTGGTGACAGTCCTACTCAGACTCAGGTACAAACCAGGCGCTTCATATCTGTGCTCTCATTCGGACAATATGGTGAATCTCCCGGAATGCTTAACTTGCCCTGTGGGGTGACAGTTAATTGCAATGATGAAATTGCTGTGGCTGAGTCCAATAATAATAGGATATCTGTATTTAGAAGTGACGGTACCCACTTGAGATCATTCGGTAGGAGGGGTCACAATAATGGAGAGTTTAATTACCCTACAGGGGTCGCTTTCGATAGCCTTGGCAATATCTTGGTGGCAGACTGTTTTAATCACAGGGTGCAGCGTTTTGATGGGACTGGTAAGTTTCTAAGAAAGTTTGGTGAAAAAGGAATTCTTGATCACCAGCTCAGTTATCCTGAAGGTTTATTAGTAAACTGCAAAAGGGATATTATCGTTGCTGATAAAGGTAACAAACTAATCAAGATATTCTCTTCTAGTGGCGAGTATTTATGTAAATTTGGTGGAGCAGAAGGTGCTAAGTTGGTCAGTCCTTATCACTGTGTCCAACATGGCCAATATTTTATAGTCTCAGATTACGGTGATCATTCCATTAAAATGTTTAATCTTGATGGAGAGATTATTTCTAGATTTGGAAAACAGGGGAGCAAGGATGGAGAGTTCAATAGGCCATATTACTTGTCAGTGAACAAAGAAGGATTGCTAATGGTCTGTGATGAAAGAAATCACAGAGTTCAGGTATTTGAACTGAGTGGAACGTTTGTGACAAAGTTTGGAAGTAAAGGTAGCGAGAGTGGCGAGTTTAGGAATCCAGTATGTACAGCAAATATTGGTGATGGAAGGATAGTTGTATGTGATACGAATAACAACCGAATCCAGCTGTTTGATTTTGAATGACACGATTTTAACTTTGTAGTACATGATACTTGAGAATATGAACTACTATACATTTATCATGAGATCTCAGTAGATTTTATGTTTGTTAATGTAAACAATTTTGTGAGATAATTTTGTTAATATAATAAATCTTACCATGAAATCGAAATTGCTATAGTACTGGCGTGTGGAATGTCAAGGGAAGGGAGGGGCAATGAAACACTCCCCCCCCCTCTCTTTTCCTCTTCTACTCCATTTTCAGACTATTTTCTCGCCCTAACCACCCTACCCTACTCCCCAAACAAGAACTAGTTTCATAGGCTGCCTGCCCATGCATAGACATTAAGAAAAGCGAGTAAAACGGTATAACCTGGTTTTCACTTGCGCATAAGCATAAGGCTTAGTATAAATACAAAGCTATACTAGAAATACGTAAATCGCAGGACCTCGGGAAGGACTTCCGGGGAACGGCAAGAAGTTGAATGGAAATAAGAAGTAATAAAGAAAATTTATAAATCTAAAAATATTTGGCTATATAAAGAAACATAACAATTGTAATAAATAAAAAGAAAACTGAAGAAAAGGAATTAAAGAAAAGGAGAAGAGAAAAAGAAAATCAGGTACAGCCCGTAATCGAACTCAGGCCCTTCAACGCGCCGGGCCATAGCTTTTCCACTAGGCCACGTAAAACACAATGTGAAAATTTCTGAAAATATATTATTAAAAACCTTTCCCCTGGAACTTCCGCCAGCGTGACCTGTTTAAAGTTTATCGAGCCCTATTAGGAATTCAGAGATATTTTTCAGAAGAATGACTGTTGTTTTGACAGTGAAACCCCAACGTAACGTAAACGAATTTCATCGCATTTAAAGAGCGGCAGCTCAACCAAGCCGATACGGTATAAACTCGTCCTGCGAGCAAAATGTGTTTTGTTACCTCGACTTTTGCTCATCTTAAGGCAAAAAAACCAAACCGATGCAAGACACTCTTCGGTGTTGCCTGGAAAAACAAAATGCTATGTGACGTCACACACTAGATGACGTCAGAGCGGACACTATGGCGATATATACAAGTATACAAGTATAGATGGGCCGGCCGACTTTGCAGGTCGCTAACACCACGCGCGTGACGCGCCTTATTTATTCCCTGGGGGAGGGGGTGGGGAAGGAGTTTTGTTGCAACAAAGGAGCAGTTACGTGATCCCCCCTTAAAGCATACAGTGTGGTTTTTATCCCCCCACATTGGCGGTGGAAGATTTCATGATACCCCCTCTTCTATCCCAGCCACCACAAAAAGCCAGTGTAACTATATGCAAGCAAGTGACATCTATATTAATGCTCACGTCTTATGAACCTTGAACAACAACTTCACATATTTGGTCATCTGATATGAACTGAATTGTCTACTGTGAAGGGTAACTCTTCTCATCCAAATCGTTGAAAACAAATAAAGTCATTGTCGCTCTCGTACCCCTCACTGTCTAATTCTTCCTCATATTCTTCATCCCCTGATTCCCCGTCACTTTCATCTTTGGCACCTCACGATTCGTCTGTGTTGATAGACTCTTTAACTGATGTGTCGGTAATAATGACATCGAATAACTTTTACTTTGTCATTAAGCTTCCTACCAATAGTGGTCAGTCAATGTTTCAGGTAGTAGTCAAGTTCTTTTACCTTTAACTTTTCGATCTTGCCACTTTCAATGAGGGTGTCGTCCCATTTGAAGTCTTTGTATGTCCGTTCCGCCTCTTGCCTCTTTCGTTCCTCAGCTTCTCTTGTTCAAATGTCTTTTCTGATATTAATATATTTAAGGCGATTAAGATATGTAATAACATGCTTCTCATCAAAATTGTATTTTGAACAGAAGCACTTGATGGTATCTCCATCGTTTATGACACTGACGGAATGTTCCTCATGGAAGTCCTTCAATCATTTTCTCGGGAGATAGTCATCCGCTGTCCTGCCTGTCGATTCCGTCTGAAAGACATCCATGAAATGTCCCCGATTGTTTGGGCCTGGTACAGGTTGCGGAATTCTTTCTGTCTCTGGTCCCACCCACCAAGAACAGAGATTAGAGGTCTCCTCTTTGCAGGCATGCACCACGACAGAATTTCATTAAGAGCTCTCCACGGATGAAGTGGTCTTCCATAAACGATTCGATCTTTCTGAGGTATGCTGCACCAGGGAATTCCAATTTGTTTCTTCCTAATTCGCTCCGTTATCTATCAAGATGAGCAGAATTGAAAGAGAACAGTTCATCAGGAGGCTCACTCACTTTACTCTTAATGTAGTCTTTAAGAACAGGGGCGTCATCAATCCTCTCGGCAACCTCAGTGACTGCATACGTATACAAGGCATTTTTCTCCATCCGCTTCTTTTCGTATCCTTTATATGACTGAAGGGACATTCTCTTGATTTCCTCTTCTGAAATATCTTCAGATCTCCTATACTTTTCGCACTCTAGAGTTGCACCACCCACAAGAGCATAATCAGAGCAATAGCCGCGTAGTTCAGCCTCACCTTAATTGCCCGCTGTCGCCCCTCGAACGATGGAGTCAATGGAGGATGGAGTGGAGGATGTTCAGTGAAGGATGTTCAAGAGTCGGTGAAGGGAGGCGTCCAAGAGGCTGCCAACGAAGCGCTGGGGACAAAGCAGTGACACTAAACTAATCACTTGTTGATCATACCATGTATATATTTCTTACTTCTGTTGTTGTTGTTTGTAAAGACGGTGTACCACCACGACGTCCTAAAAAGGCGTCGAACATTTTATGAAAAGAAGTGGATAGTCACTCAAGAGAACTGCGACACAGTTTTGAAATATTGGCACTGAAATGAAAGGACACAGGATTCCTCCCTCTCTCTTCGTTCATCTAAGTGATAAACCGTCGTTTCTAAAAAAGCTATTTATATAAACGCGCCGTAAAGGCCTGGTCAACAAAACCAAGAAACAAATAACACAAAAAAACCGCTGAAAATAAGCTTAAAAGAGAAATTTAATGTACATTTCACACTTTTAATAGACAAAGAATAAATTCTCATAAAACATATTGTAATTGTTGCTGAATGCATATGAATGATTTTAAAATTAGTTGGGTAGCCTTATTGGGTAGCCTGACTAAGCCCAGTAAAGCGGAGCGGCCCGCCTTACGGCCACCTCGGTACTACGGTCGCCTCGTTATTACGACCAAAGTTTTGGCCACCCGGCAAAACGGCCATACATTTTCTCGTAAAAAAGAAAAAAAACCCTAGCTAATACGGTTACCCGTTAATACGGCCAATTGTTTTGGCCCATTGGTACATGGTGACCTTATTATCGTGGTTCCACTGTACTAGTCGATCTCGATCTGATCTGTCTTTAAGCTTGGGTTACCTGTGGTTTGATGAAATTTTAAAAACTTCATGCTTTATAAACAGATTATCATTTCTCAGAAAGAAAGGTTTATTTTTGGATTCTCTCAGGTCATCAAAACTTTAAACACCTCGAGACACCATTTGATTGGCTGCCGAGTCGGGTCAAAGACAACACTTCTTTGTTGCGGTTTCTGAGAGTGCCAACCGACTACGTATTTTAGTATTTTAAAACTTAATTTGCTTTCGATCTTCTTCATGGATATAAAGACCTTGCTGGACAATCTTCATGTTGAAGTATCCTGTTCCGTGTGTATGTGTACATTCACTGATCCAAAGCAGTTGCCTTGTTTGCACAGTTTCTGTCTTCACTGCCTGAACGGAATTCAACGAACGAGCGGCGTCCTTGGCAAAATTACATGTCCGGAGTGCAGGAGACAGTTTCAAATCCCTGGAAGTGGAAATCCCAGCGAACTTCCCACTAATTTTCGTATCAACAGTTTGCTAGATGTGTTAGCAATAAAAGAGTGCAGCACAGCTAACGTGAAATGCGGAAATTGCAACAAACGGAGCGCCCAGACCTTATATTGCTTCCAGTGTTGTTGTTTCTGGTGCGAGGAATGTATTTTAGCACATAACATGATACGCATCAATAAAGAACACAGAACGCTGGCATTGAAGGATTTTCAAGTTCAAGACATTGAGGCCGTGTTAAAGAGACCCGCATTTTGTCAGAAGAAACGACATGAAAAAGAAGAGTTGAAATTCTTTTGCAAGGACTGTAAAGTCGCCATTTGCAACACTTGTGTTGTAACACTCCATGAAGGTCACGGAAAGATGCTTTTGGAAGAGGCTACAGACGCGTGCAAGACTCAGATCAACTCCATGACTCAATCTTTAATAGAAAAAGCACAAGAAAAACGAAAAGAACTCGAGCAATTGAACCAAAAGAGCACGGACATTACACTGCAAGTTGCCGACCTTAAAAGCCAGGTCCAGACACATGTAGATCAAGTAATTGCAATCATCGAGGCGAGGAAACAGGATGTTTTTGATGCAGTCGATAATCAAGCAAAAAAATCACTGGAATCTCTCTCACAGAAAAAAGACCAAGTTGAAAATCAAGTAAAAATTATTGAATCGGCAATTGAACAAACTAAAGCTCTTGTCAAACGAAGCTTTAGTACTGAAATCCTTGGATTCAGTGAAACATTTGATGCAATCCTTCAGGAACAGGGCACCCAAGGAAACCGTGACATTGAAAGTATACGTCGGTTTAGTTTCACTAAAAGTGAAAAACTGATTAACGTGATGAACAGTGAAGGGATAGGTAATGTAAAAATTGTTTTCAGCGAAGCTAAAGCGCAACAATTAGAAGCTAAAGGTAAAGAAAGTAGTAAAGTAGTTGGTGGGAATAAAGGGACAAATGTTCATGACAGTCCTCTTGAGACTCAGGTACAAACTAGGCGCTTCAGATCTGTGCTGTCATTTGGACGATACGGTAAGTCTGTTGGAATGCTGAACCGTCCCTGGGGGGTGACAGTGAATGATCAGAATGAAATTGCTGTGACTGATTGGGGTAACCACAGGGTTTCAGTGTTTAATAGTGACGGTACCCACTTAAGATCGTTTGGTAGGAAGGGTCACAATAATCTTGAGTTCCAGTACCC